AAAGGAGAAAGGGCCTATGTTCAGCAGTAAACTTTAAGTTGGTGATGAAAAAGATGAAGAAGACTTCGTGATATAGTATTGCGATAAATTATTTAACTGGCAGTATTTATATATATCAAGCGTATCAATAAAAAGTACCATAAGAAATAAAATGATTCCATGTTCATATAACTTAACGGTTTTTTCAAATATTTCATGATCTACTTTAAGAAGTTTATGTGAATTGGGAAAAGTTGTGAAACTTTTCAACGTATTCAAATGCAAATATGAAACTTCTTGAGCGTACAATGATAAAATGTAACCTTAAAATTCATCTTACGTGTTCAAACCCTCACCCAAAAACCTTTCGAATTCTCACCCTTGTAATAGTAAAATATTCCTTTACTCATAGATACGCTTTCCTTTGTCACAATTTATAGCCAAAAACAGAATTAGGTTTCAAACGAAATGGAGACATGAGAAATAAAAAATAATAGACTACTAGTTGCGCCCGTGACTTCGTTTAATTCAGATATTTAAAGTGAAGAAATCCGAAAAATAGTTGAAATGAAATGAATGAAATGAAATTTATTAACATACATTACATTATTGTTACAATTATTTTTGAGCTCTGAAGCCTGTGTTAGCAAAAACTGTGCTACAGGCCTCAGACTTCCCCATCTATTGTCTTAGTATTATAATGTAAGTATATTACTATTATAAAGAAATTTGTTAGTAAAAAATAAAATGAAATTAAAAAGTGATAATACGGTACTAATTCTAATGTAAGGCCAAATTGCGTCTGTGTGTGTGTGTGTGTGTGTGTGTGTGTGTGTGTGTGTGTGTGTGTGTGTGTTCACACACGAGCGATTAAGTGATCTTTACGAACAATTCCTCAATTTCATTATAATTCAAGTCGTTAAGAGTTTGTTTTAATATTTTCTTGAATTCATGATTATTAAGGTTAATAATAGTTTTAACATTTCTGTTATTGACTGTTTTAACTTTGTTGAATAATTTATTATAAAGCATTGGTGCACAAAAATTGTAGCTTCTTCTAGCAAACACGGTCTGGGCTCTAGGTACAGGTAATCTTGTTACTCGTTTATTACTTATAGGAGGACAAGGCACAGAATGGCGGTGATATCTACGAAGACACTGGTATACAAATAATTTGCGTACTGATAACATATCGCACTGCTTGTACAGGTCATGTGTGGGGTATTTAAAAGGCAACCGCATCATAACTTTTAGGACGGCGCGTTGCGCACGGTCTAGTAGTATGAGGTGTGTCTTTGCTGCGCACCCCCAGACGCAAATACAATATGAAATAATGCTCTCACACAGGGACCTGTATGTTAACAAAAGAACATCACAACTAGCCACATCACGCAAATTTTTAAATATATAAATTAGCCTCCTTGTTTTACTCGCTAGAGCAGTTACTTGTGGGACCCAGCTAAGCCCATCATCAAGAATAACTCCCAAATACTTTATGCTTGTCACACGTGACAAATATTCACAATTACACGTGGCAGGTACACGCAGTAGCCGGTTACATGGGTGAGTATGGATTTGAATTTGGAAATTACTGCCTGGTCGAGAACGGGTTAATATACCAAAACAAACATACTTTGTTTTTGCAGTATTCAAAGTGGGAGGCTGTCTTCTAGCCAAGACGTTAGTTTTTATGCCTTTTTCAGCGAGACTCCTAACATTACTCCACGATGTGCCGTGAAACAAAAGTACTGTGTCATCTGCAAACATCACGATGTCAACGTCCTTTGACTGCAACTTGCATAGATCATTTATATAAGCGAGAAAAAGTGTCGGGCCTAGCGTACTGCCTTGAGGCACACCGAAATGGCAAACAGCGCTGTTGCTTAAATGTTCCTTGATCCTGACTATCTGTGTCCTGTTACTTAAGTAGGATCTGAACCATTGCAGTGGCACACCTCTAATACCCAGGTTTTCTAGCCTTGTCAATAGTATAGGAATCGACACCGTATCGAATGCCTTTTGAAGATCTAAAACGACACCGAGACACCTTTCATTTTTGTTTAAGTAAGAATTCGCTAAAGACGTGAAATGGAGGACAGCATCCTCAGTAGATTTGTGCTTTCTGAATCCATATTGGTTAGGGCTTAACAGGTGAAATCTTTCGAGGTAGCTAATCAATCTACTGTTTACAATTTTTTCTAGGACTTTAGAGAGGGTTGGCAACAATGAAATTGGTCTGTAATTCGACGGTAGATTTTTTTGACCATCTTTATAGATAGGTGTAACTAAGGCCTTTTTGAAGATATCTGGAAAGATACCGGTTTTTAAGCTAAGGTTTATTAGGTAAGTTACAGGTTCAACGATATAAGGACATGCATATTTTATGATGTGTGATGTTATGTTATCCAACCAGAGGCATTACTTGATTTTAGGCTTGAAATAAATTTATGAACTTCGGCGCAGTCAGACAAAAACAAGGAAAAAGAATTTGGTAACATGTTCGACCTGGCTGCATTGATAGACAATTGCTCTTGTGTAAGTCCTAATTTGTTAATAGTTTTAGTCGCCAACTCCAGACCAATATTAGTAAAGTACCCGTTTACCTCATCAAGAGACTCTGTGGTTGTTGTTTTAGTGTTGAGAAGCTCATCAGATGTATTTTCAGTTTTTTTTAGTCAAGTTACAAATATCTTTAATTAAATCCCAAGTCCTTTTAATGCATCCTGTATTTTGATTGAATTTAGAGCGGTAGTAATTTATTTTACTTAATTTAACAAGCTTATTACATATGTTTCGGTAGCTACAGTATATGGTTTTTAGATTTTTATCATTTGGTGTATTTTTATGTCGTTTCTGAAGCTTATTCCTTTTTCGGATTGAGATAAGGATACCCGGCGTAATCCACGGTTTTAGTCTTTGTTTTCTATGAGGTGTGGAAACTTCCCTGGTATTAATGCTAATAACAGAGTGTAATGTAGAGATTAAATATTCGGCAGCTTTATTACCTGAGGTAAGTTTGTAGTATTCATTCCAGTTTTCATTAGTCAATTGAATTTTTATAGCATCAAAGTCAATTTTGAGCCGCTTAATATTAGGTACAGACTTGTTAATTTTCGGACTATTTAAAATTAATAATATGGATGAATGGTCAGTTAATGAATCGAATACAAAGGTTTGCCAATTACTTTTCGTTTTAACCATAAAGTGATCAATACATGATTCTAAGCGTGTGGGTTTGTCAACACCCTGAAGTAGGCCATAGTATGCCAAGAGACTAATGTAGCTTGCACCACTCATAGATACGTTCCCCGGCAATATATTTATATTGATATCACCGGTAAGTATTATAGTATTTTGAGGTGTGTCTTTCAAAATCCGCTCTAGAGAATTTAGATAATTCGCAGGATTCGGAAAACCTGCTGGTCTATACGAACAAATAACCGCACAGCTTTCTTCAATATTCAGAACCAAACAGTTACCTTCTGTACAGTCCGGTTCTTTAGCAGAGGCCACAATACCACTGCGCACATACGCTACTACCCCATCATTTTGGTTCAGTTTGTTTTTTGTGTAGAACATTTGATAGTTATCTAAAGGCGGCGGTGGCTTAACCTCTTTTGTCCAACATTCGGTTAGAACAAGAATGTCTATAGGTATACTAAGCGACTCAACAAACACTAGAAAACGATCTAAGATACAGTGAATGCTCCTTATATTAACTGTCAGAACAGACAGTGAGTTTGGAGTTACCTGGACAAGTCGCCTGCATAATGCAGGGTCCGCCACCTCAGTACAAGTAGGGTTACAAACGACATTTAATTCATTTTGAACAACACAAATATTTTGATTATTGAATTTTAAAATTATGCAGCAAACTATTGTTACATGGACAACGACGCATTGATTTTTTAAATGTTATAATACATTGTATATACGTAATTAGTGTAGTAGAAGTTTGAGCTTGCATGTGATACGATCTAAACTCTAAAAGTCTTATAGCCATGTAGTTCGAATGAGTAGAGTTACGTAATATGTAATGTGAATATGTTATGTTGCATGTGCATGGTATTGCGAAGGAAAATAATTACGTCGGTCCGCCACCTCAGTGCAAGTAGGGTTACAAACAACATTTAATTCATTTTGAACAACACAAATATTTTGATTATTGAATTTTAAAATTATGCAGCAAACTATTGTTACATGGACAACGACGCATTGATTTTTTAAATGTTATAATACATTGTATATACGTAATTAGTGTAGTAGAAGTTTGAGCTTGCATGTGATACGATCTAAACTCTAAAAGTCTTATAGCCATGTAGTTCGAATGAGTAGAGTTACGTAATATGTAATGTGAATATGTTATGTTGCATGTGCATGGTATATATAATATGTATGTATTATAGCTGACATGTGATGGGTAACGCGAAACGGTAGCTATAATATATAGTAAATGTGTATATGTTGTATTGTGCATACGATTATAGTTGTGGATAAATGCAATGAATGTATTGGTATGTGAGTTTGAGTAAAGGGCCTTACTATTACAGAAAATTAAATTAAAATAAAGAAATGAATGGATTAACAATAGGAACTGTGTAAAAGTTTTGTAAAAATACACTTCATACAAATAGCTAAAATCTAGTCATTCGGTAGACATCTTATTAAGGTCTTCGTGACACTTGATCAGGATAGGCTTGGATTGCTCAGATTTCTTTAAGTATACTCTTCCAACTGAGGTCCAACAGAAGACGTAATTATTTTCCTTCGCAAAATCTCTCCCAGCTGCAAACAGCTGCCTCGTTTTTTGTGGTAAGTTGTCCGAGATGTAAATAGGTTTTGCCGGTCCGTCCATTGAAATATCTTTTGTATTCAGCTTATTGTTGGCATGAGTTTTGTTGTATTTTTTTAAGGTTTGAGATAAATTTATCCTTCGTAAGGCAGCTTGTAAAGTCTGCTATAATTGGCTTATTTCCCTCGTTTTTAGTATTAATTCTATATATATTTTTCACGTCCGACTGTTAAAGTGTTGAACCCAGGACTCCACCTGTCTTTTTCAGAATATTTAATAAATCATCCTTGGTTTCATGAGTTTCCTTTGGGACGTTGCGTAATTCAATTTTCGTAGCATGGGTTTCACGCTCGAATTTCTCTTCTAATTCTTGAATACGCTTGTAGTAAGCACTGTTTTGCTCTTCTAGGTTGTGGACTTTTTCCAAAAGCGAATCGTATTTATCGGACATAAAATTAATCGAATGACGTATTTCCTCGTTCTGTTGTTTAATCTCCCCCATACGTTCAAGAATTATGGAATATTTACTGTCTTGCTCATTTTTGAAAGACGTGAACAATGATAGGAATTTGTCATGAATCATACTTAATTCATTCGAAGTATCATTACTATGTTTTCTTTTCCTTGGACCGGTGTTTATATAATACTCCTTTTCGGGGGTAGTATGTATATTTGGTTCCGAGTCGCAATGTTGTAAGTTTGTTCGGCGCGCCGATGTAGACGCCTGCAACGGCGAGCGGTTAAGCGGCATTACGGAAAGTACCAGGCAAGTATAGATTAAAAGGTAGTTATCGCGGATCTTACGCTGATATGATTAAATATAGTTATCTTCGTTCCACAAGTATGGTATGAATCACTCAGTGTGCGACAGCGTCGCAGGTAAGGCGTAGGTATCAGCTTAGTTTGGACGAATTAGACGCGGTCGGCTAGGGGTGCGTTCCGTCCAGTATACGAGTACGTTGAGATTACACGCTGCGTGCGTATTAATACAATGAAGTAATGAATGGACTCACTGTCTGTGTGCGTTCGCGCTGCCGTTTGTGTGCACGTTGTGACGAGTTGGTAATTAAGAACACCTCTTTGCGCTTATGATATCTTATTATTTTAATTTTAATTTTCACAACAGAATTAAATTTATTATGATTGAGACAGAAAGCAATTTACACGTCTATACTCTTTCGAGGTCCAGAGGGGAAGAGGGAATTTATTTGCGTGCAATATTTTTATTATACTTATTATATATGATACTTTATTTGCTATTCTAAGTGATGGTTACGAGGGTGGATTGAAAAGTACTCGGCCTAACACAGATCCATTCAATTCTAAAAATCAAATCTACCCGCATTATTTAGTTCAGTTCAGACTAGTTCATTGTGTGAAGTTCGAAACGTGTGCGATAATTAGTTGTGATTTTATAAATTTATTAACAAAGTAATCGGACATAATTTCCGCGAATGGAGCAAATCGAGCAGCGTGCCGTCATTAAGTACCTCCATAAGAAGGGGCTATCATCAAAAGCCATCCATGATGACATGGTCAGTATATTAGGCGATTGTGCTCTGTCATATTCATCCGTCAAAAAATGGATAGCAGAATTTAAGCGTGGTAGAGAGAGTGTGAAAGATGACCCCCGCTCTGGAAGGCCTTCGACGTCAACTACTGACGAAAATATTAAAAAAGTACTTGATTTAATAATGGGAGACCGCAGATTAAAAATTAGAGAGATAGCCGAGATTATAGGCATCTCTTATGAATGAACTCAAAACATCATTGTCAACGAGTTGGGTTTCCACAAGGTGTCTGCGAGGTGGGTTCCGCGACTGCTTTCAGTTGAACAAAAAAAGGACGCGATTGACTATTTCACGCGACTGTTTGGAGTTATTTGAAGCCGATGCAGATGATTTTTTGAATCGTTTTGTTACTATGGACGAAACATGGGTTCATTACTGTACACCGGAAACAAAACAACAATCAAAACAGTGGAGAAGACCTGGTTCACCACCCCCTAAAAAAGGCTAAGTCGATTTTGTCGGCAAATAAGGTGATGGCTTCAGTATTCTGGGACTCGAAAGGTGTGATTATGATTGATTATCTTGAAAGGGGTCAGACTATAAACTCTGATTAATACTGCACCTTACTACGTCGTTTACGAGAGGAAATAAAAGAAAAACGTCGAGGAATGCTCAGAAGAAAAGTCCTGTTTCATCAAGATAACGCCCGTGTTCACACGTCAGTACAGTCAATGGCTGAAATTCACAACTGTGGCTTTGAACTGTTACCGCATCCGCCGTATTCACCTGATCTGGCACCATCAGACTTCTTTCTGTTCCCTAACCTAAAAAAGCACTTGGGAGGTCAAAGATTTTCGACAAACGACGAGGTCAAAGCAGCTGTAGACGCATATTTTGACTCGAAGGAAGAATCATTTTTTTTCAACGGTCTAAATGCTTGGAAGGGGAGGTGGCAAAAGTGTATTGAACTTGATGGTGATTATGTAGAAAAATAAAAATATAACTGATTTAGTATGTGTTTATTTTCTTGGTTAGGCCGAGTACTTTTCAATCCACCCTCGTATTTATTTGTAAATTAAACTGTCACGAAGGCTTACAAAGACACTAATCTGAATAAAACATTCAGTTAGTCAAACAAAGAAACAAACGAACGAACAAATAAACCCACAAACGAAACAAGAAACGGATAAGAAAAATTGTACGCTTGTATTTTATTTTGTAACTAAACAAGAAATGACCGCAATAATGTAATCCCTAATTTGCTTCCGAATTTCTCTAGCCAATATTTGGTTTCTATACAATAAATAACTGATTGCCCTAAACTAAGCAAACACTATAACTAATTATTGATATTAAACAAAAAAAATGAAAACTATTATCTAATGCCTACTAAATGTAAATACCTACACTAACAAAATAAATGAAATTGCGTAAGTACCTATCTATATTTTGTCTCATCATGCAAACAAAATAAAAATAAAACTAAACTCAACCTAGGAAAGTTTTTCAACCTTAAAGGAATAGCACATCTATTCCTTTAAGGCTTAAAATCAGTTTTCTATCAAGAAATTCTTAGTATCAGCCCGGAGTCAAGAGTTCAGCAGTGTTTCATCCCTATGCCTCAGAAAGCACGTAGTCGTTTTATCTGTACCTGATCTCACTATATTTTTGTCGGATTATTGACTCCGGATGCGGATTAATATTTTGTTGTACAATGATCAATAGGGACAGATTTTTGAAAGTTCTATAATAGATATTATTCATAATTTTCATAATTTTGTTTTACCGATTTCCCCGCCACCATGCAATTTAAAACCATTTTTCCACGCAAGCCATGTATCCTTGTTTTAACACTTTACGATGAGATATTAGGAAAATTAAAAAAAATCTAATTGCATTATTTTAATCCTAAATTGTTCGTATTAGTTTTAAAGTTACAAAAATCATTTAATTATTTTTCCCTATAGAAATATGAAATCACCCCGTAAAAAAGATTCTTATAAACCTTATTTTAATATCTAAGGATTAAAATTTTTCAAAAATTCTTTCTTAGTGGATACCTACTTAGTAAAGCGATTGTCCCAATTTCACGCACTATTCCAGCGGTTTGAGCTGTAGATTAAATAAAATATATTTCATACAAAATTTGAACACTTCTTTTAAAGCCGTAAGTAACTCCTTCAGTAAGAAGTTGTTTTAAGAAATACCACAATATTTATCTCCATACAAAATTGCTCACCCTCTGCCCCTGACACCCTACCTAATGGTTTATTTTTAAATCGCAAAACACGTACTCATTTATTTTTTAAATGCAATACTCCCAGTAAGTATCGAGTCAATCGATCTGTAAAATATTTTTTGACAAAATAATAAACTGTTACACCCTTATTTTTTATCCTCTTCCTATCGATCGAATTTTCTAAATTATTTTATTGCGAATTTCTAACGTCAGGGTTATTAACGTCATAAAACTGCAAACGAAAAGAAACTTCTGATATAAAATAAGAATTTTGTCTAATTTTACGTACTACCTGTTAACTTAGCAAAAAAACATAACATACATACACTTTATTACTAATTCCAAATTTTAAAGTAAGGAGAATGGTTATGTGGACAACGACATCCTTTTTTATATATACATTTCATTGAATGCCTATACCCAGTCGTGGACCATATTATATTGGCTGTACATTATAATATATAGCCTGCTTCTTCGATTCCGTAATCGGGTAAATCGTTCGTGATAGATCGTGGAAACTATAGCAAGTATGAAGCAATTAGTGGGGAGGTCTATGACCTATGTTCAGCATTGGACTTTAAAATCCTATAACGGTTATGGGATAAAAGTAAGAAACTTATATTTGCTGGTCTAATACAAACATTGCGTTGAAAGCAGCAAGCAAAATAATTATTTATATATTATATTTCTTACATATCTCGCTTATAAATAAACCTTATGGTGGTTGAAAATACTTATAGCGCCATCTATATAATAATCTAAATTATAGTACTTAATTTATTATTACAGTAAAATAAACGTTATATGATATTTGGAAAAGAACGGGTAGGAATAATATAAAAACAACTCAAAATCATTTGAAATTGTTGATAGCTCTTTTAAAATTAGATTTACCATGTTGTAGATACTCGACGGTTAAGAAAAAAATTATACCCAAACGTACATATTTAAACTTTAATTAATAATTTGTACAACACCATATATCGACTCTGCTTAACTACTGTACTTTTTTCACCAAGTTATTGGGTTTTATATATTTTTTATAAATATATATTACGTTATTCTCTATTATTTTTGGTTACTGCGTTTAGATACAATTATATCATTATAGAACACTATTTTACATTATTTAATTACAAAAATACCCTTAATAGTTCAACACCACCATTGAACAATTTTGCACCTATACTTCGTACCCATACTTCAGAATATTAATCTTCACTTTTGATAGGATATACCGATTTTAATAAAACAAAGACTAAATGTAAAACGAAGATACGCTTTACAATTTTCATAACGATTATTTTTATATAAATCAGTAACTTAAACATGATACGTTAACAAACAAACATAGAGACAGAAAATTCTAAAAATGGTAGAAACCAATTGTAACACCTCCCCCCCCCCCTCTCATAATAATAAATATATTAGATTAAATATAATTAATTCTCCTTTATAATAAAAATTATATGTAATAAATAGACCAAAACATATTTTATTCATCCTAGTCACATACTAGGATAAATAAAATATGTTTTGGTCTTTCTAAATGATCTTTCTAAAGGTTTAATAATAGGCCGTTTGTAATATTTTGGCGTGATCGTCTTAGTTAGGACCCTTATTTACGTTGTGTTTGTTTAGTAACTTAGTTCTTTTAGGTGTCTTTTGGAAGAATGAATATTCGCTAGAGCAATTGAAAGCTGTTGGTAGTGCCTTATAAGCTAAGTTAACCCCGTTCACGAAAACAGGGGTCGAGAAAGGTTAAGAACATAAAACGTCCCAATTCCACTTGTATCAGGTTTACATTATTAACTTAATATTATTTATCCCTTCCCGCTCGGAAAAGGCTCAAAATATATTTATACAAAATACCCGATACAAGGGCTTCGCTCTCCTACATTTATTAAAAATTGTAGGGGAGGCACACGGCCCCACACACGCCGTGCACGGTGAGCGCCAACCATTTTGATGCACTCCCCCCGAAGGGAAAGCTAATTCGGG